TAGAACTTCTATAAACTATTGTGCTTTTATCCTTTTGATTTGCTGTTTGTTGAAAACTGAATAATTTATCGTTGTGCTGATTAATATGAGAAAAGAGTTAAAATGTAACACAAAACTTATGTTTTTCACTCACCATCTTAACACATAGAACTTCTGATGTTCACTCACTTTTTAAGAATGCAGAACTTGAGTTATCTTCACTATTTTAACACACAGAACTTCTATGATTTTGCTCACTGTTAACACACACTGAACTTCTGAGTCTTACATGCTGATAATGCACTGAACTGCTAATGTTCACTCACTGGCTCAACATAATGCATAACTTCTGATGATTCACTCATTGTTCTAACACAACACAGAAATTCTGAGTTCTCCTTACATGTCAAATATACTGAACTTCTGATGTTTCCAGTTGTTGTTTTCACACACTCAGAGTTTCTGATTTTTTACATGCTGATAATACACTGAATTTCTGAAGTTTACTCACTGTTTTAGTGTAATACATAACTTCTGACTTGTGGCTCACTGTCTGAATACCACCTAGAATTTTTGTGTTTTCCCTCTAACGTTTCTTGCAGGACCTCAGAGTTTACCGATCCAGAACTTCTGACTCCCACTGACGTTCCTTTCTGAGCCACCACGTGCCTGGCTTTAGAACTTCTGATCCTTGCCCCCTTGCTTGCAGTAACACGCTGTTTCTGCCTTTCATTTATTTCCCTTTTCATCATTTTTAATATTAACATAAAAATACATAAAAATATTTCCTTTTAAATTATTCCTTTTTTTTAATTCATTAAGACAAAAAACCATTTTTTAAAACAAATCTCTTCCTTCTTTGCATTACACATTTCGATATGGTTGTAATAGTAATTTAGGACTTATTTTTACTTGCAACCCCCATTCATAAATTTGTACACCCAATCCCCCTAAATATTGTAATAGCGTAGGACTTTACATTTCTGCAACTTATCGCTTTCAAATGTAAATGCTAATAATTAGGGTGTGTATGGCAAGATATGAAAATCAACAAATAGATCACCCTAACCAAGATTAAATGCATGCAATCAAACACACTTGCACACTAACACCCTTAGGGTAATCCCGCTTTGTTGCCTATCGGAAAAATAGTCATGTCCCTCGAACATGGGCATTTTAGCAAAAGACCCTCGATAAAAGATCGTAGTCCCTCGATGACCCTCGATGTTGCCTTCGGTAAATGACCTAGTCCCTAAATGACATTGCTAAAACGTCACATAGATTGCCTTCTATGACTATACAAATGTACCAACGCCCGTCCCTTCACATCCAACGATGGGGCTTCTTACCAAATCAATGGTAAGATAACAACATCTAAAGGAGGAGGAAAAGAACATCTAAGACCTTTTGAGTAGGTAGGTTCGCTCTTAGTTACTCGCTTGCTCACAACAAAAACACTTTATACACCCACACTCTCATTTTGAAACATTTTTTAAGACAACACTTTGTACGCGTTCTTATAGAGACGAGAACCGTTACAAAGACACCTTCTCAAAATCGCTTTCAAAAACACATTTCACAAACACATTTTTGAACTATTTTCCAAACAAACACTTTGTATGTGTTCTTATAGAGACGAGAACCGTTACAAAGACGTTTTCAAAATACTTTCAAAACCCACACCACAAGCACATTCAAACAAAAGCAAGTGATCTAGCGAGTAACTAAGAGCCCATGGAAAACCATGGATGAAAAGGGTGCTAATACCTTCCCTTTTCACAATCTACCCCCGAACTCAAGAAAACATCTCTAAAGGTCTTTCCTGTGCTTTTTCACCTTTCCTTTTGGATAAAAGAAAAGTCGGTGGCAACTCTTGCTAAAACGCAACATTTGCAAACACAAACGCAAACCCTCAAGTCAGTTCTCCCACCGTATCACACTTGGCCATTGGTTCCTACTTTTGGGCCTAGATATTAGGTTCCTCAAAAATAGATAATTTCCAGGACTTAGTCAAAACGGGAAGTCGTGTTTGTAACTAACCATTGCTCCGAGCAAGGAAGATATTACGGAAAGGTGCGTTAATAGCATTTTCCTGGTTGTCTACTCTACATGTGTCGAGCAAACTGGGATGTAGCCACCGATGCGGGCAGGCGTATATCTTAGGCATCGTTGGTCTCACTGCTCACGGGGTGTAGTCAACCAGATGTGCCCGATAGAAGGGCAAGAGTTACTGGACCAACATTGTTAAGCCATGTGGAAGGTAGAAGCCGATTTGGCTAATTCTAGCTGTTGGGCCAGTCCAGAAAAAAAGCCCCCATGTTGTTGCTCATAGGCTTATGAGTGATGACTTAGAGTTAGCCCATGTGTCGACGAGGTGGAAATGCTTTTGGTGTTCGTCTTAGGAGACGTGGACGCTTAAGGATGTGTTCGAGGGAAACTGTGTCTGGAAGCTCGAACATGGTCTCTTGTGTTCGGTACGCGGGGAGTCGAATGGTTGATTAGACTCTGAGATATAGTGTGCCATGCTTGCATCGAGCCACATGCTGTCATTAATGGATAATGATGGGAAATCTATGGATTAAGGCGCAATGATGAAGACCCATAGGCTTCCCAAGGCGCGTATCCACTCACGTGCTAGTAGAGCTACCTATAAATGGGAGAGAAGAAGCCTCATTTGCAATTTTCGCTTGCTTTCTCCTTCTCGTGTCTGCTAGTTCTGTAAAGCGCCACCGTTCACCTCTAAAGTTTCTGCATGTTCCTCCGTTAATCCTCCCCGACCAAGTAAATTTATTGATTTTCCGTTGCTTCTGTGAATTCCATCTCTGCTCTAGGTTAGAATTCCAGGTATTTTGCTTTTAGAGATGCATGCAGTTAGAATTAAAGTAGTGTTGCAACTGTTTTTAAATTAGAGTCACCACCCTTAATTTTTATCCTAATGAAAGAGAGTATAAAGGAATAACCCTAAAGTTCATAGATTCTAGGTTTGGACTCGGTTCTAGACAAAGGAAAGGTGTTAGGAACCCCTCATCTACCTTATTCGCAAGGATACTAAGTTTAAAAGTGAAATGTGTAGGAAATAGGGTTTTAATGTTAATTAGAGGGAAAAGGGTTTAAATTTTAGTTAGGGGGACTCACCACGATTTTGTATCATATGCCTATGTATCCTCTTAGGAGGAATCAAAGTCTCATTTCATAGTTCGCAGTTGATTTGTGTTTTTTATGGACTGCAAAATATATTTGAGTTTCCCGCATACGTAGTCTAAGAGTATGGATAGCGGAGTTTGTTAGACCAAGTGCGCAGTTGATTTAAATATATTCGTATTCCTTTTTCGAAAATTAATGTTGAATTAATTTATTATGAAAAATAATTTGATGTTTGTTTGAGTATTTTAAAGACATAGAGCAAGATAGTCTGATATAGTCTCCTCATCACGTGGCCAGATATTTGCCACATGTCACTCCAAGATGATGAATTTGGTGAGTTGCACGAATCTGATTTTGAATAATAAACCGGTAGACAATGTATCAACTGATTTAATTGCTCAAAAATGGACCTTCTATTATTTATAAAAATATTTGGTTTATGTACAAAGTTAACGGTTTATTTGAAATTTGATGCGAGGGTTGAAAATTAATCCGACATAAACTTAAACATGCAAAGTAATGATCTAATTAACCTAAAAAAACGTAAGAGAATATCTTTTTTTTAGATATTTTTCTAATAATAATTAATTAAACCCAACCTAAATGAATAATAAAGTAAACTAACAAGTTAACAAAATAAATTTGATTTAGAGGGGGTGTATATTTGCAAAAGTGGGGTGTAGGACTTACTATGAGCGTTTAGGCTCAAACTTAAAATTAAAAGAGTTAATCCTAAATCTATCAACATGAATTAATATACAATATAAATAATAATTATAAAAAACAACAACAACATTTAGTCTTAGGGGCGCCTCTTTCCACTTCTTTACATATATGTAGGGGTGTTCGCGGTGCGGTTTGGGCGGTTTTGAAGCAAAAAATCACCCGAACCGCAAGAGAAAAAAATATGCGGTTCGGTTTGGTTCGGTTGGCTTTTAAAAATAAATCCGAACCAAATCAAACCAAACTAATGCGGTTTGGATTGGTTCGGTTGGTTCGGTTTTTTATAAAAAAAAATTATTAAGTCATACAAACAAATATAGAGGAAAATATAATTTTGTATTTAATTGTTCGTACATTACCATAAAAAAATTTATAATTGTCAAAATAAGTTTATAATTTGATACATAAAATTGCGTATTATAATTTTATCTAAATCTAAAGAATGATATAAACAAGATTTCATTCTTAAATAAATATTATACAAAGTATACGATAAAATATATTTTGTGAAAATAGTATTTATAAATGAATAATATTTTATTTTTTTATGATTTGTAAATTAAAATGAATATAATACAAAGTATGATAAAATATACACATAATACATGTTTATTTCTCTAAAGAATTAAAGAAATATATATTGGTTAGTAAGATTTTATAACATAATGCGGTTTTGTTTGGTTTGATTCGGTTTGTAAAATACAAACCGTAAATCGAACTGAACCGTGTGATTCCGCGAGAAAATGACTCAAACACATCCAAACCAAATACAGTTTTTTGCGGTTTCGATTGGTTCGGTTCGGTTTTGCGGTTTTCTATTGGGCCGGTTCGGTTTTGAACACCCCTACATATATGTATATATTTCTTACCTTTTAAAGCTTAAAAGTAAATAAGCAATATAAGTCATATTTGACTTTTCAACCAAACAAAAGGGCCAATACTAGAATGACACTTGCAAGGCTTTAAATAATAATAATAGTAAAGAAAACAAGAAAATAATAAACACAATACATAGATAGAGAAAGGCATAGAACGAAAAATCCAATTAATCCCCACTCTATCGTTTCTCTTTCCAACAATCTCTCTTCTTCTCAAATTCCTACAATCTCTCTTTCTTTTTTTAACAAAAACAAACAACCCTCAATACACAAATCATGAACAAAACACAAAATAGAAAGAAAATAAATAAATATTACCACCAACCTTTGATTCCGGCGGCAATGATGAAGATGGTGCGCGACAGTTGGGCTTATCCGGTGGGAGTCCGATTGCGGACCTGGCGGTGTGTGGTTCTGACGTCATGGAGATTGGATCTGTGGTTGGCTTTATGCAGTTCTAGCGGTGATGCTGCAGAGGTTTACCGGTGCAGACTTGCAGGAGAAGTTTCCGGTGACGAATTTTCTGTTGGCCAAACTTGCGATCCAACGTTGATCTGGAGAGGAGCGTGATCGGAGGGCAGTTCACGTGGCATTACGGTGGAATATCAGCTTATGTTTTCGACAACTATTGCAGATTCAATTTATTCTTTCCTTTTGATTCTGTTTTTGCCTGTAAAATAAACAAAAATCCACACAGTTTTTATTGTAGTGTGAATTGATATTGAACATTTGAATTGGGATTGAATCTTTGATAGTAGGTTCTATAGTTTCAAAAATGTATTCTCAGTCAATTTCGTTACCTATTGAAAATCCAAAAAAGTTAGTATGAAACAGTGAAGAAAAAGAAAAAAAATAATTCAAATATTGAAAGCGGTTTCATGTGAAATATGTATTGTGTTAGTGTATGCAGAATTTGTACTTGAATGAATGGGTTTGTGATTACTGTAAGCACGTTAAGAGGAAAAAGAGTGAGATATTTGACCATTTGACCATATAAATCACATAGTAAAAGGGTTTGCAAAGACTAGCAATTTTTTTGTGTGCATAAAAAGAGTTTTTCTATTCGTGTGTAAATTGAGATGTTGTTAGTGTAATAAAAATTGTTAGTACAAAAAATAAAATTATTATAAAAATTAGAATCATGAGGAAATTCTCATCATATGGTTAAGAATAAAGGATTAAAAATAAAATGGAGGTAGACTTCATATTTAATCATCGGCCAAAAATAAAAAATTGTTGTTGTTGTCTGATATAGACAACAACCCTAACATAAACTAAGAACAAGAATTTGAAAGAAAAAAACAAGTTTTATGGATGAATTGTGGATTCTGGATGAAAAACTAGGACAATGAAGAGTCCTATTTATAGAGTGGAAATTAGGTTAAACAAACTTAACAAGTAAGTTATCTGAAGTGAATGAAAAACTCAAGCCCGATTTCCTAAAAGGAAAGAAAATTAGTAACAAAAAGAAATAAAAAGAACATTTACAAGTACTCCACCAGAGATTTGAACCCGCACCCTTATACTTGTAAACTTCATTTTTTACCAATTGTGCTGTGTTACTTATTTGTAAATAAACATAATTTGAAAGTATATGAAAGGTGTACAGATATTTGCTAATTTAAAAATACAAATAATTTAAAATGAATCATTATATTTTTAAATAGGTTTGGAAGCAAACATTTATCAAAATAAAATAATAATATAAAAACAAAGTTTAAAATATTTTTGACTGGACTTGACAATGAGCATCTATAAAAATCAAATAATATTATAAAAATAATGTTAAAAATATTTTTGACTGTAGAAATAAAAGGGCGAGCAAATTTGAGGTATGACAAGTAGCTTAGTGCAGAAATTTTGGGTGGTTTGTTGGCATCTGACGGTGGTTCAACCATATGAGGATGTCGGTTCTGCCCTGAATCTGTTTAGAAATATCTGGCGCTAGGGCCGGTAATGGCGATTTTGATGAGTTTTTCGACGAAGTTAGGCCGTTTCTGGGCTTCTGCTATGTTCCTTATGCGTTTCTCATGAACCCTCAAGTGAGGTTTAAAACACAGTCGTCGGGGAGATTACTCCCCGCGTCGGTTAGGGTTTAGCCTGGCGGGCAGGTGCCTAACGCGTTAGAGGGAATCATCCTTGTATTCGTTTTTATTATTTAAGTAAGGGCTCTGGTCGGGGACATGGTCCTCTTTCCTTTGCATGCCCTTTCACTTGATTAGCGGTGGAAGGGTGGATTTTATTTGACGTTGAATTCACCTTTATCCTCTGCTATTTAAGTAAGATGGCTAGTAGCACCAAAGATGAAGTTATGAGCGAGCAAAGTGATTCTGAACCGAGTTCGTCCGAGCATACTTCGATCGAAGAGAGTACATCGGAGAAACATGATTCTGAGCCAAGCACGCCGGGACAAAATGCATTCGAGCAGAACGTGCCTGAGGCAATTGTGGCTTTCATGGACTAGGTCGCACCAGGTCCTCGAGAGATTTCCTTCTACTTCACCGAGCACCCGGAGGAAGTTTCCACGGTTGTGGCATTGGGGATAGAGCGAGAGAGTTCTTAGGAAGAATATGTTGTTTACATCCTCGGGAAGCATCATCGTATCTGCTCGAAGTACGACGTCAACCATTTCCCTATGTATGAGATTCTTTTCATAGATTTGGGGTTCCATCTTCCTTTCACCGACCTTCAGATGGCCATTTTAGACTATCTTCACCTTGCTCCCTCGCAACTTCACCCTAACTCGATAGCCTTCCTGCAGGCTTTTGAAATTGTGTATAAGTATTTGAAGATTAGGGCCATTGTTCCTTTGTTATTTTACTGTTTCCACCTCTAGCAGGGCACAGTTGGCAATCAGTTTGGATGGGTCTCTCCGAAGCAGGCTAACGGGAAGTTGTTTAAGGCATACCTTAAATTTGTCAGACATTTCAAGGTCAGGTACTTGTTGGTCTAGCCTGTGTCAGAGAGGGAAATCCTTAATGTTTTTATGAGGGTTCCCCATCACGTTGAGGACGGGGAGCCTGTGCTAACCGAGAAGGGTGAACCGGTGAGGGAGTTGGTGCATAGGTTCAACTTCCACTAGTACATGAAGCACTTTGATCATGGGACCGACCATTACATCGTGAAGACGGGTCAGCTGAACCCTAAAGACTAGGTTAGCTATGACTGACTATTCGCCTTGTCGAGGGAATACCCCCAATCCAGTGAATGGGAAAAGGGGGGAAAAATCCTCGTTGATGAGGAGGGGAAAGCTATATTTGAGCCCAGACTTATTAACGTTAAAGACCTCCTTGAATGTGATGAGCCTTTGAAATATTTAGGTAGTCATTTTTTTTACTTGCCCTTGTTCCAATATCCATGTTTTTCTAATTTGTGCTTGTTTTGTTGTAGAGAAAATGTTTACTCCTCAGGACTGCATGATCAAGAATGTTGAGGCTAAGGCCAAGAAAGCACATAATTTGGTTTCCATGAGCCTCTTGGATGGAGACTAGGATGGTAAGCCTCTGCCAGGGTCAGGGACTTCTTCGTCGGGCCCAGCTATTGGGCAACCTTCTCCTCTTCCGGTGAGCTTGAGGTCCAAGAGACCCTGTTCAGATGACCTGCTAGATTTGATCAGGGAGCATGGTCTTGGGAAATTCATGGTGCCCCCTACTTCCACAACAAAACTCTCTTCGAAGGAGGTTCCTTGAAGGTCCACTGGGAATAGTCCTTGTTATATGGGGAATGAATCGTCCAAGCAAGAGGCCCATACTGGCTCATGATACTGCTGCTCTAATGCGGATCTTGGGTGTGGCGGTGATCTATATCAATGAGGGGAGTCCCGAGGATATGGAGTTGAGGAATGTTCGGACAACCCATACCGCTCTTGAGGAGAAGTACAAAAAACTGAAGGTCGACAATGAGGCACTGACTAAGTTAAAGAAGGAGTCGGATGAGGAGAGAGTAAAGCTCAAAAAGGCCCTTGTGGAGGAGAGCGAAAAGCTCAAGTCTGCCATGACCCCTAGCGAGGAGGAGTCTGACGATGTTAAGGAGCTGACGACCAAATCCAACTGGTTGCTCGTATTCAGCAGGATGACGACGACGCTCTGGTGGCTGCAGAGGATACTTTTAAGAATGTAGTGGCCCAGATTCGTCCGGTGAACCCGAGAGTCAACTTTGTTTTAAAGGGAACTTGCTTCCTCTACCGTGTGGTGGGTGACCGAATGGTTATCCCCGACTTCCTTCAGGTGGCAGGTGGGAATGTGGCAGATTCTTTTCAGTCTCCAGGGGGATCCGAACAACTGAAGCCTGATACAGAAGTTCCTCCTCAAGCAGAAGAGCATCCTCATACCGTCTATTGTACCCCCAAAATTTTCCCTCCTATTTTCTTCAAGACATTCTTTCAAGGGTCTCAAGTACTCAAACTACTCAAGGGTTGACCAGTCAAAATGCTTCTCCTAAGCCAAGGGTCTACAACTAGGGTTTTGAGTTCCTCAAGGAAGTTTGGGTTGCAAAGATCTCAAATGATTTCCATGGTTCTCCATAGGTATTCAACAATGTTCATGTCAACTTTCAAGTCTTGCATCACAAGTTTGCTCAGTCAATGGCTCAGATGATTGAAAATCAACTATATTGGGTAAAAAGTCAACTATGGTCAACATACAGTCAAACTTCAAGATTTTTGGTCAACATCAATATTTTGAATTGATATTCATAATTTGATAAAAGGTTGATCATGATTCCTCACGGAAAGCCCTTAAATCATCAAAAGTCAAAAATTGCCAAATTAGGGTTTCCTTAGGAGAAGTCAACTGAACTTTGACCAAGCATAACTTTCACATACTTCATCCAACTTTCCCCAAACAAAGCCCATTTTGAAGGAAATTCAATTTTCTAGAACTTTTGAATTTATGCTCAAGTCCAAAAGTGCTTCATTTGAAAGATATGAGCTAATACATTACTAGTCATTTTCAAAAGTCAACAAAAGACACTTTTTGTCAAGGAAAATTACATCAAGATAAATCTATAAATGAAAAAATGATCAAAAGATAAATTGTAGAGGACATTTTTAGATTTTGAAAAAGTCCAAGATCACCTTCAAAAGATGAAAATTGATCAAGTTATGAGTTGAACAAGTTGGGAAATTTTGAGGAAATACATGAAATGCAAAATGTGCAAACTTGAAATTTTGGACTTTTGACCTAACTTTTTGGGCTTCAAACATGTCCATGACCTTGTGAAAGACTCCTAAGCTCACTTCTACCTTGTCTTGTATTTTCTTATTATTTTATTTATATTTATTTTGTTTTTATTAAAATAAATGCAAACTAAGTTAAGTGAAGTAAAAGGTAAATGGGCCAGGCGCATGAGTGGTTTCTTAAAGCCCAATACAACACATTCTAGCATGTTACAACATGCCAAAATCGTGAAGGGTTCAAGAAGGCAAGAGACATTTCTAATTTGGAAAGTTTTCAATTTGCTTGATTCTTGTTTAAACACGGCTTGATGACTTGATTCCTTGCCATGTATATTGAGACCTTCTCTACATCTATATAAGTGCAAGCCTCAGATCTCAAAAGGGACACGAATAGACTGACCAAAGAGCCACTTAAAAATCCACAAAATTCAAAAATTTCATAATTTGTAACTTAAGTTCCATCCATTCTCACTCGAAACTAAGGCCAGCAATCACCTCCTGAGGATCAAAGGATTTGATCTAGATCATTAACTGCATCCCTTGAGCACCATAACACAATCTCTCCATCACGCCGGTTGTAAAAGTTGGTAAAAATCGAAACTATGATTTCTTGTATTTTCAGTCATTGCTAATCCATTTGATCTTTTCGTGTGCCTCATTAGAACAAGATTAACGTGCTACATGTGAGGTTTAACGCTGAAATCATGCTTTACCTTTGTTAGGACTTAAAAAAATGTTGAGCATCGAATTGGATGATACAAGCATTTTTAGATCCCACAAACCGTGCCATTGAATTCGCAGCATGTTAATTAGTTGATCTAAGTCGTTAAATCTTTTATTTTAACGCATTTTTGCAGATTTAAGGAAAAAGACAGGCCGGAGAAGACGACCGGAGCCAGGGCTCCTTCGCTTCTCCGGTCAATAGTATCAGATTTATTATTTGTTTTTATTTTTTGATTCATAATACCGGATGTAATGACCTCCCCAGTGGCAAGCGTGTGTGTTGTTAAGGTATTAGTGTGCCAGGGCATGAGTTCGATCAATGCCCATGGCATATTATTTTTCCATGTTTTCTTTACAGGTCCAGTATAAGTAATCTAACGCGCATGCCATGTACATCCTCAATCATCACCATCCAATCCAGATCAAACATTGTTGATAGGTCTCCTCATGATGCACCCCAAGGAACGGTCCTCATTGAATCCAGCGCAAATTCTAGGCTTTGTAAAGTTGGGATGAACAATTGATTTTTCAAACCCCCCGGTTTTCTTTTGCATCTCAGACCCATTTTTTTTTGCATCTTTTGGCCCGTTTACAATTTTTTTACTTTTGAATTATTTTTGTTTAATTATTGTTGTACCCCAAAATGTGCCCTCTCACTTATCAAGAATCTTCTCACAAGATCTCTTTGGGCTCAAGACTGCATTGGGGTTTGATCAGCTCAAGACACCTCCTCACGCACTGATTACCAAAATTAGGGTTTGAGTTTGCACAAGGATTTTTGGACTATCAATGCTTCATATGACTTTAAAGGATCATTATGGATCCCCAAGATTACTCATGTCAAGTTTCAAGCCTTGGATCACACTTTTGATCAGTCAATTGAACAGTTGACCTAAAAATCAGCTGTATTGGGGAAAAAGTCAACCATAGCCAATTTACAGTCAAACTTAATAATTTTTTATCCACATCAACATCTTAGACTCATATGTATTATTTGATCAAGTTTGGACCATAATTCCTCAAGAAATTTGATCAAATCATCAAAAGGGCAAAATGGTCAAAATTAGGGTTTTGATTGAGAAAGGGAAATTTCTGATTTTTGGCCTAGAAAATGATCAATTGGTTTGAAGCATGATTTAAAAAGTTCAATTACATAATTTTGACCTAATGAAATGATTCAAAACATTGCAAGTCCATTGGATTAACAAATGAATTTTGCAGTCAACTGATCAAAAGTCAACTGTGTACTGAAAAGTCAAACTTTGACTTTTTGGTCAAATTCAAGTGCCAAAGATCATAATTCATCAAAACATGTTAAAATATGAAACTTGTTCATCAAGAAATCAAGGATTCAATATTTTGTTTTGAAAAGATGAAATTTCTTAACTTAGAAATTTTTCTATGTATAGAAAATCTATAACTTTGCTTCACACAATTTCTCCTAAAAATGCTTGTATCTGAAGATATAATTTTGTGAATACATGCTCATGAACTAAAAATAACTTAGTGAAATTTTGCCCTAGTTAGGAAGTTTTTTGACCTAACTTCATGCCACTTTTTCACAT